TCTAATCATCATTTCACAAACTGCAAATCTTATTGATCCTTATTTCAGCCAATACATAACCAACTCAAGCAGCCAGTTCTAATGTGCCTCTACTGTCTCATCTGTGTCTCTACTGTGTCTCATCTGTCTCTCTACTGTCTCATCTGTGCCTCTACTGTCTCATCTGTGTCTCTACTGTCTCTACTGTCTCATCTGTGTCTCCACTGTCTCTCTACTGCCTCATCTGTGTCTCTACTGTCTCTCCACTGTCTCATCTGTGTCTCCACTGTGTGTCTACTGTGTCTCCACTGTCTCATCTGTGTCTGTACTGTCTCTCCACTGTCTCATCTGTGTCTCCACTGTGTGTCTACTGTGTCTCCACTGTCTCATCTGTGTCTCTACTGTCTCCGCTGTGTCTCCACTGTGTCTCTACTGGAGCTGCAACATCAGTCACTTCGTCAAACAGCTGCTTGAAAGAAAATTAATCAACTATTTTGACTCATGGGATCAGATCAAATGTTCAAACAAACATTACAGGTGTTATGTTCCCCTCAGGTGTGAGGATGTGACAGTAAACTGATTATCTGAGGGTCCATAAGCGAGACGTTTGAGGACTCTTCTTGGTCTGTAGGACATTGTAAAAAGGTCAATCTCACTGTTTTTCGGACACTTTACAAACCAATCAGTTCATTCAGAAAATAACAAGTAAAGTGAAGACTGGGCAGCCGGCCCCAGGTCTGTTTCAGGCCTTACATTCTCTCTAAATCCCAACAGGTGCTGGTCCAGACTCGTGTGTGTACACACGTCCTCAGAGTCCTGCAGCAGTTACACACCAGTACCACAAACCGCATGAAAACAGTCCGGAGAGTTCACTAACAGAGCCAGCCTCCTACCTGCCGCCGCACAGCACACACACCTGAAACCTCCGCTGTCCGGATCTCGGCGGAGTCCTGCGGGGATCAACAGATGTCGGAGTCCGGCGGCTGCGGCTAACGAGGAGCTAACGGCTAACACTCACCACTGTGACCGACAAACTCCACAGATCGGGTCGACAGCAGCACCATCCGCTGCCACACACGCCAGGTCGGTTATTTACCGGCCACTTAAACCCAGAATCCCGCTCCAGCTGCAGCGGCGGCTCCGGGCTCGGTGATCTGCGGGCTAACGGAGCAGCCCATTTATCTCGCTTTAAAAAGATGGCGGGCAAGCCGATGCAAAATACGAGCTAGGTCGCTAACAAACCGAGCTAGGCTACTTACCGAAGACACGAAAGGCCGTTAATTGTATTTTTAGCGGCTGTGGCGGTTTCTGCGCGCGTGCTGGGGGAGACGTGGGAACATTAGTTCGCCTATGAACCGCGCAGAGAGCGGATCCGTTGGTTTAAAACGCCGATCTTTGCAGATGTTACCGCGGTGTTTGGCTAGCTAACGAGCCGTTAGCCTGTTAGCTGAGCTTTGTCTGAAGGCGCCGAGCGGCTCCGACACACCGACACCTCCTGCACCCTCCAAGACCAACCCCCGCCCCGTTTACCCGCTAATCCCCCCGCTACCGGTCAGAGAGCCGTGTTTACTTTGTGTTCGGTCCTCCGGGGCGTCCAGCGGCGGGCTCCGGGCAGCTTTCTGGGAGGTTTTTATTTAGCCAAGTAGCATAATAGATGAGTTATCAGCTGTCTACCGTGTGCGCAGGCGCAGTGGCAAGCGGCATCATGCATGTTGTTGTAATCGGATTGGCCGGCCGGGTGGTTGGGGCACTATGATTGGCTGCGAGGCGTTTATGGGGCTATGATTTGTTGCTGGGGGATAAGGTTCGCTGTGATTGGTCGGTGGGGTACTTGAAGTGCAGTGACTGGCCGAGACGAGGCCCGGGATGTTCTGATTGGCTTGTGAGGTTTACGGGGTTCAGAATGGCGCCGGGGTTAGCACTACGTTTCCCAGCATCCACCCCGATCTGCTCTGCAGCAGATTCCTGATAAATTCACTGATAAATTAAATAATTCAATCAATAACTGATCATTAAACCGATGCACCAGTATGACTAGTAGGGATAGTGTGGTCTGAATACGACGACTCAAACATATGAAACAGATTTATACAGATGATAGATTTATTGATTATATTGGATTGATCCATGAGCTGCTCTTTAACCAGACTTCAGTCTTTTGTTTCTTATTTATTAATATTGAATGTATATTGATAAATATTAAAAATATATTTAACCATTTTATACTGTAAAAATAATGAGTTTCACATATCTGGTGGGGAAACACCAACTGACAGGAAAAGAACAGAACAGAATAGAACCTGATTATCTAACAGGATGAAGACATCTACCCCAACATATGGTCTTCTATATATTTCATATATTCCTGCTGAATAATATGAATTACTGTATGTGCATCGAATTGCATTTTTTTAAATCAAAAATAGAAGTTCAGTGTCACTTTTCAACCACTCAGTGATTTAACCACTGAAGCTTCGTTTTTCCTTTTACCTCTCAAGATAATGAGAAATCACCGTTTTCAAATATGTTACAAAACAAAATTAAAATGAATTTAAATCATATTTTCATAATAGCTATAAGCTATAGAACTGGTAAAATCACATGTTAAGTTTCTGATCTCTCTCTTTCTCTCTCTTTCTCTCTCTTTGTCTCTCTCTCTCTCTCTCTCTCTCTATATATATATATATATATATATATACACACAAACACACATATATGTACATACACACATATATAGCAATGTGTATGTATGCAAACATAATTATTTTGAAATGTTTGTGTACAAAAAATCAGATGAAGCTAAGAGATGCACATATATATATATATATATATTAATTATATATATATGTGCATTGGTGTCAGAGTGACCGTCTTTATTTCAGTCTGTGAGGAAGAAGAGCAGGTGCCAGTCCTGTCAGCGCCCCCCAGAGGCTGCAGAGCTCACTACACACACACACACACACACACACACACACACACACACAGACTGAAAATACACACACACACACACACAATGTACACACACAAATTTTAATGTATGGTATATTTACATGTGTTTTCAGTGTGTGTGCGTGTGTGTGTGTGTGTGTGTGTGTGTGTGTGTGTGTGTGTGTGTGTGTGTGTGTGTGTG